CTGTCTCAAAAAAAAAAAAAAAAGATTCTGACCCCCTGTAGAGGCCAGATGATTAAAAATCAGCTGCTTCATGAATTCTTTGAAACATTAAGATAGGTAGTACTCTGGGTAGGTTGGAAGGATATGTGGTTTCTTTTGGGGGTAATGAAAATATTCTAAAATTGACTGTGGTGATGGCTATATAACTGAAAATATCAGAACTGAACTGTAAGTGGGTAATTGTATGGCATACGAATTATATCTCAACTGGCCAGGCATGGGAGCTCATGCCTGAAATTCTAGCACTCTGGGAGGGTGATATAGGTAGACTGCTTGAGCTTGGGGGTTCAAGACCAGCCTGAGCAAGAGCAAGACCCCATCTCTACCAAAAACAGAAAAACTAGTCCAGCATTGTAGGAGGCACCTGTAGTCCCAGTTACTCCAGAGCCTGAGGCAAAAGCAGCTCTTGATCCCAAAAGTTGAAGGCTGCTGTGAGCTATGACACTACAGCACTCTACCCAGGGTGACAGAGTGAGACATTGTCTCAACAAAGAAAATAAAAAAGAATTATATCTCAACAAAGCTCTAGGGGTGTGTGTGTTTAAATTGGTAAACTGGCAGTTTAGAAAATGTCATCTTCTTCAAGGGTATCCAAAGAATATAATACTACTGGACCCCTATGAATGAGTCCATTCCTTTGTTCATGTTTGTCTGTCTGTTTGATTGGCAGATTTTCCATTCCCACCCTTTCTTAAAAGATCCATTTTGAGACTCACCATCTCAATAGTCTCACATTATCTCAGAATACACTGATATCCTTAATTCTTCACAAATTCTTCTAGAAAGGATACTGCATCTTATACTTTACTACTTAATAAATGCATGCAAATTCATGCAATGTATAGTTTTCTTATCAGTCCTATGAGCTCCTTAAAAGCACGGACCACATCTACTTCTAGTACGGTGTTACACATAAAGTGGACTCATTATTTCAGTAATTCATTAAAAAACATTTACCTTCAAAGAACAAAACACTGAACCTCCTCCTAATTATCAGGGACTTGGGGTGGATCTCTTTCCATCCTTCTTTTCCTCCTTTCCTCATCTAGCAGACTCACACCTGTTTTAGGCCCCCTCTGTTCCCTATATCACCATTATGATCTCTGTAATGGGCAGCTACACAATTCTATGCAGCATTCCAGGTTAAGATGTACTGTGGCTTTGTTTTTAATCTCCTTTGAATATATTGCATTTATTTTTTTTTTTTTGAGACAGAATCTTACTTTGTCACCCTCAGTACAGTGCTATGGCACCATAGCTCACAGTAACCTCAGACTCCTGGGCTTAAGCAATCTTGCCTCAGCCTCCCCAGTAGCTAGGATTACAGCCATAGCATGGGCTATTTTTATTCTTATTTTTTGAGACAAAGTCTCCCCATGTTACCCTTGGTAGAGTGCCATGGTTTCAAAGCTCATGATTGGACTTCAGTGATTCTCTTGCCTCAGCCTCTCAAGTAGCTGGGACTACAGGCACCTGCCACAACACCCAGCTAGTTTTCTTGTTGCAGTTGTCACTGTTGTTTAGCAGGCCCGGCCGAGCTAAAACCCTGGCTGACGCCATAACCACTGTGCTACAGGCGCTGAGCCTCCCCGGCTATTTTTATTTTATTTTTTTGAGACAGCCTCAAGCTGTGCTCTGGGTAGAGTGCCGTGGCATAGCTCACAGCA